TTGCTTAACCACTCTGGAAGATAATACAATCACTACAGTCCCCAAACATTCACTTTCTCACTTGGTCATGTGAAGTTCAAATGATGTAAAAAATTGGGGGGCCTTTTGTGTTTGTCAAATGCTGGGGCAGCAGGTTATCCCAAAGGGAAGTCATCCACGCTCCCCCTGGTACACAATCAGTAAGGCACCAATTCCCCTCCAACCCAGAGTAATTCTTTCCAGACAGATCTTTCCTTAAGAACTTGAGACAGGATTCTCTCTCTAAGAAAGTCCATGTAGACAGAATGATCATAATGGCCATGGTTTACTAAGCCCCAGCCAAGAGAAGGGTCACTATCTCACAGAATCCTTCCCACACAGATACAGCCTTCTTTCTACAAATGAGGAAATGGAGGCTCAGAGAGGTTTAGTGACTTGCTAAGGCTGCACAGCCAGTAAGTGGTGAAGAGGGCTGTGAACCAGGACTATCTGACATCAAAACCCATGTAGTTGTCCCAGGCTGCCTTCTGAAATACCCTCTCATCACACAGGGTACCTTCAGGCAAGCATGGTCTTGATTCCTAGGTCAGGTGACTCATCTTCCTCTTTGAATGAACATCAAATAACATTCCCTCAATAGCCAGGGGGACTAAACGTTGACATTAATTACAAGTCATTCAGGACTTCACTCTTTCCTAATAAACACCACCACACCCTCCAAACTGCAGAATCTGCCATTGATCCCTGCACTGGCAGACACCAAGTGCTTCAACTGGAACAAATTCACCTTGCCAGGAAAATGCCGGGCAATTCCCTCCAAATCCCTAGTCAGTTTTCTGGTATAAAGTAACCAAAGGCTGGAATTTTGAAAGAGTACCAAATCCAGCTGACCTTGGGAGGAACTTCCAAAGATTCAGAGCCAAGGCACAAGGAGCTCTCAGGGGTCAGCAACTGTCCCTTCGGTGGTACTGGTTAAGCTAAAACTGATGGTCCCATATGTGGATGACCTGGCCAGTCACATGGCCTCAAGGCATGCGGTTCACACACTGGGCTGGTCTGGGAATTGTTTCCAGTGTGTGATGCATACTCTAGAATAAATGTGCAGTGTTTGTTATTCTTTTCACTATGTTATTTTGTTCTTCATATACTTTTGTGTTTGTTTTTGATTTTTTTTTATTAACTCATTTTATTTTACTAAAGTTTGGGTCTGTGACCAATAGAAAATAAAGACCA